ACTCTGATGTTGCTTGGCCAAACATGTCCCCATTTTCATCTGTGAAGGGCTGGAGATTATGGAGCTGTGGTTTCCCTTGACACAGTTGAAGCACTGATCTCCCCGCTGCAACCAATTCCCTTCCACTATTATAACGTATTTGAAACCATGAGATCACTTGCTCTCTGTATAATGAAATCAGACACCATCCGTGGTGTAATTAGGATCTTGGAACCAGGAAATGAATTGCTACAAAGCGTAGCATCCTCTGCAATTTTAATTTCAAAACTATTCAGCTTAATGAAGGCCTTGAGGGAAAATTGGAAAGCACACCTGGTGCTTCATGTTGGCACTGAAGCAAACCGGAAAACTGAAATAAAGGCGCTCTAACACAGAGTGATCCTGGATCCCTGGAAGCTCTTTAATAAAGATAACGGCATGTGGCAGGCACAACTGGCAGTGCAGAAGATGATCTGCCAGCCAGCACCTGGAATAACACAGCCTTAGCTGCTGCAACCTTTGCCTGTCTTTCTTAACATCAATATAACAGCCTATCCGGTTTAAGACTTAGATGTTCCAATTTGGCTCATGTGCTCATCCACAATGATTCCCGCTAGCAGATGGGTTGGTGGGGGGAACATTAAAAGTCAACAACAAGGTAGCCACAATTGACACAAACAGAGACACAAAATACAGTGTTTTGTGCAAAAAAGAGTAAAATTTAAATATAACTAAAATGCAAGAAATCCCCCCAAATATGCTAAAACTCTTGAGTTCTTGCTCAGCAATGAGAAAACTTTCACAAAAAGTTGACATCTCATATGCAAGAGTTAAATAAGCTATCTATCTATCTATCTATCTATCTATCTATCTAGATTGCTACTCCACCAGTAATCGCAGAGTACCAACAAAGAAAGTGTGTGTGTGTGTGTGTGTGTATGTATATATATTCCTTGTTGGTACTCTGCAATTACTGCAATTACATTTTGCTGTGCACTGCAGATTACTGGTGTTTTAAACTGAGCCTGGTGTTTGTTTTCACTATCATAGCATGTTGTAGAAAGGTGTTTGTACAGTATATTGTAGACTCTACAATGTAGAGGGATTGTTGTTCTTGGCACCAAGAACTTTCCCAGGCCTGGCAGAGTACTTTTTCAGACATTATTGCAGGTGGATATTGTACCCACCTAGTTGTATTAAGCTACATTTATATTAAGGCTGAGCTGTAGATGAACCAATCAGAGAGTAGATGTACAACAATTAGTATATCAAACCCTGTTCTGATTTACAAGCTGGATTTTAATATTCATCAATGGGTTCTCTCTTGGCCCTATCAATCAGTGCAGAGCAGTGAGATTTTGAAGAGAGAGTGCCAAAAGAATTAAATCTAATTAGAGTGACCACCAGAGCTGAAGAATCCTGTTATCTCCTTGGTCAAATCACACTGTCTCAGTCTCAGAGAATGTAAATGGCAACCCCTCTAAGGCTGAGATACTGTGACCACCAGGGCTGCAGAATCCTGTTATCCCCTTGGGCAAGTCACACTGGCTCAGCCTTAGAGGATTTTTCTTCAGAAAACTCCTGGCTTCAAAAAGAGTCGCACTGAGTGGCTCTAGGAGCAGGGATCACCCCGGGATGGTCCCGGGCGGCGATTTTGGTGGAAAATCCCTTGCGATAGGGTCCAGACACCACCCACATTTATTTTTAAACCAGATCAGGTAAACCAGTTTATTTAAGTGTGTGATAAGCTCCAGTGTTAGCAACTTTGAGTATAAATAGTAAAGCAAGAAATGAGCGTCATGATGTGAACTTTTAGAACAACCTCAAGGTTTAGGATTTTTAAAAATATTTTTGGAGTAGCAGAAGAGAAATTATATAAAAGATTTTGGTCTTCATTTTAAAATGCACCTGGATAAAGCCCAATTCAGTATTGTAAATGATCAACATGAGGGTGATCATTTGTAAGTTTCTCATCTAGTTTCCTCTGATATGTGTGGAGAGAAGGGAATTTCATTACTGCTAACATTACTTTTTGCAAATGCAGGTGTAATGCCAGTAACTATCCTGTTGTCATGTCAAGACAACGGTGGCATGTGGTTGTCACACATACAGCTGCTCAGAGCATCATAGCCTTCTCCTTAAATGTATATTCCTCTAAAACGAGGCCTTTCCAATTTCTCTCTTTCTCTCTGTCTCTCCAGTATCCAACAAACACCATTTCGTAGACAGCAACTTGCTCTACCAATTTCGAATGAACTTCCGCCGGAGAAGGAGGTTGATGGAGCTGCTTGCAGAGAAGTCCCGCCAGATGTCAGAGAGTCATGATAGTCCCTTTTGCCTGCGCAAGCAGAATCACGACAACAAAAAACACACCAGTTTCCTCTCAGGTATCTGTTTGATTTGAACTGGAGGTGTCCACTGGAACCCTGTATCTTGGAGGGGGGGAACACAGGTGAAGATATTAGGAGGAAGAATGCTATTGTGTTACTATCTTTTGCATTTTCAGCATAAATGTTCACATTATGTTTCTATGCACAATTCAAAATGTTGGTGATTTCCTTTGACATTCCAAATTGCTTTGGGACCAAAGTTACATTAGGGACTTCATATTATCCTTCCTGCTGTATAACATCTGAAGGAGACCCATTTCCCTGAGTTCTGCCTACCATGGTAGCATGCTTTATCAAGATAAATGAATGAGCCTTTTGGGTGGTTGCACCAAACCATTGGGATATTTTTCTCTATAAGATGCAATTGGCTACTTCCCTTGCTATTTTTCACGACTACCACCTGCACATTTTCCACCTCTGTCCCTATTTTCTGCTAGTTGTTGAAGATCATGTTTCCTTCTCTAACAGCTTTTTATTTTTTTTGTGGGGGGGGGAAGAAAACATGTACAGTGAGTCCTTGGTATCTGCTGGTATTTGGTTCCAGGACACACACACACGTGGATAACAAAATCCAGGGATGGTCAAGTCCCATTAAACACAGTGGATAGTAAAATGGTGTCCCTTATATAAAATTGTAAAACCAAGGTTTGCTTTTTGGAATTTATATATTTTTGGAATATTTTCAAGCCGTGGATGCTTGAATCCATGGATATGGAGGGCTAACTGTACAGTTAACTGCAGATAATGTCTCTTTTATTGACCACTAGCTGAAGTGTACCAAGCACTGCCAGTATCCGTATCTAAAAAGAATACATGGGGTCTACTGTTTTCCTGTTTCCCCTGTATTTTTACCTCAGGGATCTTACTAGGAGCTCGAAAGCACTTTTCTGCCTTTTATTAAATCTGAGATATCTTAGTTGCAGTGTCTCAGAAAGCCACTGCCTGTATTTTAGCTGAACTGTACCTGGCAAGTTAAACAGAAGAAGAGGTCCATAGGGCCTCTTATTTTCCCACCTATTTTAAATCTCAAGAATCTTACAAAGAGTACCCCTGAGAACTTTTTAGAAACTTCAGAAATGTTAACATCAGTGAGCCATTTTGATGGTGTAATGGTCATTGGTGCCATGAGGGCCTTCTGAGTCTTGTAGTCCAAAGAGCAACATTTTCTAAGGAGTTGGCTGAAAGAAGTACTCTCTGATATTACCCTTTGCACCCTGAACAGATTACTCCTGAAGGATTGTGGCCTTCAGGAGAAAAAGGGTTCTCTACCTCAGCCCTGCACTGCAGCATGTTTTCACACATGAGAATTGAACCTACTTTCACTACAGGAACCCTTTTTCTCCTGAGGGCCACATTCATTCAGGAAAAATAACAGGTGATGGTAGAAAGGCCACTGCCTGAAGCCATGAAAGGTCTCTTCCACTTGCAATAGCAATAGCAAGTACACTTCTATACTGTTTATCAGTGTACTTAAGCATTCTCTAAGGCAGGGGTCGGCAAGTTTTTCTTACCTGGGGCCGGTCCGCTGGCCTCCAGGTCATCCGCAGGCCGGGAGGGGAATGGCAGTGCGCGTGCGCGCAGCCCCCTCCGACCCCTGCCACCGCCGCGCATGGCGCAGCTGCCATTTTGCTTTCCAAAATGGCAGTCGTGACTCGTTTGCACATGCGAAGGAGTACTGCGCATGCTCAAACGAGTTACGGCCACCATTTTGGAAAACAAAATGGTGCCACGACACATGTGGCAGCGGCACGGCGGCGGAGGTTGGCGGGGGCCGGTCCAAAGGCCTCGGGGGGGGGGCGGCCCTGGCCCATGGGCTGTAGGTTGCCGACCCCTGCTCTAAGCGGCTTACAATGTGTAAGCTAATTGCCCTCAACAAGCTGAGTACTTATTTTAGCAATCCCATTGTATACAATGGTGTAGCAAAACGGTATCCCTTATATCAAAGGGCAAAAACAAGAAAACAAGATTTGCTTTTTGAATTAAAAAATGTTTTCAAGCTGTGGATGGTTGAATCTGTGGAGGTGGAATCTCTGGATATGGAGGCTGATCGTACATGATAGTCATCTTCCCCATCTCTGTTTGTTCTGTACAGTGAGTCCCACCAAGGAGATAAAGATAGTCTCAGCTGTGAGACGGAGTAGCATGAGCAGCTGTGGAAGCAGTGGGTACTTCAGCAGCAGCCCAACACTCAGCGGCAGCCCCCCTGTACTGTGCAATCCCAAATCTGGTAAGGACTTCTAAGGATTGTATCAGATTGCTCTAAAGAAGCATGAGTTCTCACAGTATAGTTCATTGGGTTTTGATGGATGTTGTCATCTCCACATTCATTTGTTCCTTTTTTGGGGGGTATCAATTTGAGAGTCAGTGTGGCATAGTGGTTTGCGCATTGGACTACAACTCTGAAGACCAGAGTTCAAATCACCTCTCAAGTATAAAAACTCACTGGATGATTTTGGGTAAGTCACACTCTAATCATCAAAAGGTAGCAATGTCAAACTCCTCTGAAGAAACTTGCCAAGAAAACCCTATGATAGGTTTGCCTTAGGGTCACCATAACTCAAAAATTACTTAGAGGCACACAATAGCAGCAGCAGCAGCAGCAGCAACAACAACAACAACAAGGTATCAGTTGAGGTTGGGATTCCAAAGGGTTATTTTTTAAAGAACTGGATAAGTGGTCTTCTGAGGTGGTCCTATGGCTTGAAGGAAGAAATTATTTCATTTCTGAATGATTTCCCCCTAGTGCTATAGTGCAGAAGTGACATTTCACTGATGAATGACAGGTTGAATCTCCCTTATCCAAAATGTTTGGGATCAGATGTGCTTTGGATTTTTTTGAGGAGGGGTATTTTGGAATATTTGCATATACATATACATAATATATTTTGGAGATATCTTGGAGATGGGGCTCAAGTCTAAATGTGAGCTTCATTTATGTTTCGTATACACCTTCTTCCCATAGCCTGAAGGTCATATAATACACAAATTTTAAAAATAATTATGAGCATGAAACAAAGTTTGTGTACATGCGAAAGCAAAGGTATTACTATCTCAGCCACCCATGCAGATGATTTATGAATAGCAGGAACAAGCATAAATGCGTTGTTAAACACATCTATGAGAACCAGTTGTGGTGTAGTGGTTAGAATGCTAGGGTAGAGTTGGGGAGACCTGGGTTCATTTCCCGACTTAGCCATGATGCTTGCTTTGTGACTTTGGGATGGTGCTGCTTACCTATTAGGGAAATAGCTTAATCTGCCTCACAGCGCAGTTCTTAAAATCAAAATGTGGTTTGGATGTATATGCATGCAATTTGTCACACACTCAAATAAAACTTTCTTAGCATCAATCAACATTTAGATATACTTCCAACCAGCACATTTGGTGAAATAATTCTCAGATGTGGCAGCAGCAAAGCAGCTGTTGTTTCCATTTATTTAAGAATATTATGGGACTAGGCAGTTGTAAAAAAGAAAAATGAATGGATCCTAGACCAAATCAAGCCAAATCAAGCCATCCTAGAAGCCAAGATGACTAAGATGAGACTGTTGTACTTTGGCATATCATGAGAAGGCATGACTAACTAGAAAAGATAAGGACGCTTGGCAAGGCAGAAGGCAATCGGAAAAGTTGAAGACTGCATGACAGGTGGATAGGGAATCAGGGAAGCCACACTCCTGAGTTTACAAGACCTGAGCAGGACTGTTGATAACAGGGTGACTTGGAGATCTTTCCTTCATAGGGTTGCCATAAATCAAAGTTGACTTGACAGCAGTTAACAAGGCAGACATACAGAGGCCATTGCAACACAAGAGTTCAGCATGCATTGATTTTGAGCATACCATTTTGACAAAGCTTGAGAAAGTCAATTTTTGGATATATCTCCCAGAATCCGTCAGCCTGCATGGCTATTGGCCATATTGACTTAGGGTTTCTGCGGAGGCAGCGGTGGCA